GGGAACAACTTCATCAGCAACAGAGCCAGTTGATAAATCAAGCTTTCGCCACCTCCAGTCGGTCTTTTCCTCTGAGAAACACCACAAGTGCATACTCTTGTTCTGCTTTAATTGTTGTTATTGACTCTATTTCTGCAATAACTTCACTTATTGCTGTGTTTACTCTGCTGGGGAGCAGGAGCAGCCATTACTGGGTCTGCTTTATTTCAGTGCACCTGTGCACCGCTTCATAGCAACGGCAAGCACCACGAAAGCTGTTTAAATGGAGTGTATTCTGTCAACCACGTAACTGTCAGCTGACAAAACAAACAGCAATGCCATCCTGCAGGTCAAAAGCCATGGTAGCTCTTCTAGTGTACAGACAATAATGTTTATAGTATGATTTTAGGTAAGCCTGAATGACATTCATCAGTTCACTGTCTTATCCATCTCCCTTGACTTGTTTATATTGTATGTATCATGTTGTCATGGTGATAGATTAAAATTTAGTGGCAGATCTGGCATATCTACCAGCTCCAATAACTATCAAAAGTTGTGCAGACTCCACCTGCCCAGTGCACTGCAGACATACACCCACTGTTCTTCAGGCTGCAACCTGCATTTTATGTCATAATTTACAACACAGTCCCTGATTGGCTGCTTACATTTCAGCAAGTACCTCCCTGGCTGTCGCTACTCTCTGCCTTCGTCATGCATTTGGCATCTGCTACCGGAGTTATACGATACAGAATGGCTTATAAATTGCCCTCTGCTGTCAGCATCATCATCATCGCTGTTGTGCTTTTCTGGATATGCTGACTTTACCCTCTCTTTGTTGTGAAAGAATTCAAGAAGGGCATTTCCACTTCTTCTTCTTCTTCTTCTTCTTCTTGCTGTCCACTTTTTGCCCTGTTCCTTCCTCTTGTTGCGGATGAATCTGTCCCGCAGGTTACGCCACATTTTCTTCGCTGCTTCTTGGTCTAACAACTCTCTTAAGGCTTTTGACGGATGCACAAAAACAAACCTGTTCCAAAAACTTTATTGAGTCATAAAGTTTTGAAACCAGTGTGGGAAGGTGATTGACACAAGTGAGGAGAACAGGCAAAATATATAGACTTGGTGTGCACAGGCCTTAATACAGGGAGGAACTTTTTTAGTGCCCTTCCACACAGATACTGCACCAGTCAAACTGCCAGGCAACGTTGTTATTGGAGACCAAAATAAGATCTTAAATTTCTTGACCAAGCATCTCCTATATGTTTACATTAAGTCTGGATGATAATACTATCTCAGTCATCCACAGTTTATTTAAAAAACCTCGCCATGGTTTCACTGAGTCAGTGTGTATAATACACAGTGTGCTATGATTTGAGTAAAATATTACGATTCAGGTGGGGTAAAACAACATTACACACCATAGAGGAGACATTTAGTGACTGAGAGGTGCTAAACCCTGGCAAGAGGCTACATTAGAGTTGCTAATAGCAGTAATGATGGCAACGGAGAGATGTGTCACACTGAACAGATGGGAGAGACTGAGCGAGAGAGGAGAGGATGTGTGAGAAAGTGCTTTGGCTTTTGCATATATCCCTGGAGAAGTGGCCCGGGGAAAAGGGTTGAGTGCTCTCTTTCGCTGTTCTCCTCCATAAGGCTTAGTGGTGGAGGAAAGCATGGAGCCCATCCCCCAGTGGATTATTCCTTCGACATTGTTAAGCCCCCATACTCCCACGTCCAGGCGGCCCTTTAAAACACATGTATTCATTATGAGAGTCACTGAATGCGCCCAACACACAAACACAGACAGTGGTGAACATGTTTGTGTCAACCCCTCCTTCCCCTACATCTTCTTTCTTTCCCTCTGTCTTTATCTGTCCTTCTTTCAAATGCCAGTACATGCCTAGAATATAACGCACATACACATCTGCCCGCATACACACATGCAAACACCCACACTTACACATACAGTAAACACACACACGTGCTTACGCATGCATGCACAAACACACAAGACAACACACAAGCCCGTGCACTTTCTGTCGCACATTCACACACAAACATACACTCGTATTCAGGTATTCAGAAAGCCAAGGCAGTGGGAGAAAATTCTGTGCCGCCTCCGTTTGACACAAGCAGCTTTTCCTGTTATATAAGACGAGTTACCGTGACGATGAGCCCCGTTGAAGGAAAGAGTGCAGGGCCTTTGTATGTCTGTACACATATGTGTATTTGGGCTGCGTGTGGCATACTGTACCTGCACATCTCAGCATGAGCACGTGTGAGAGACTGTGAGAGAGCTTAGCAGTTCATATATTTTTCCATATACTGTCGCAGCATGTGCTGTATGCAGCTGCCAGCTTCCCAGAGAGAGTTTAAAAGTGTGTTACTGTTGGGAGATGCAGTGCATGAGCAGTGCGCACGTAGGTCTGTCATTAACTTGGTCTCGGGACATGTCCAAAGTCATGTGGATAATAAAAAAAAAATGTTTATGTATTGGAGTTTTTTTTTTTTCGGTCCACGGAGCATTTTATGATTGTTTTCTGTTCAGCGCCCACATTGAAATACAACAACAAGAAAAGGCTCACATCTCCTCTGTTTAGCATTTGCAGTCATAAAGTTTTGCACTATTTCCTCCAGAGGTTTTTTGCAGCGTTGTTTATTGTGTATAGAGCAGGCATGAAGACCAGAGGAAGTGTCCAGTATGGATCACATGACTAGAGAGCATGAGAATAACTACCAATCATATGTGACAGTAAAATTCTGGATTGGCTGTGTTCTCCCAGTTCTCCCTGCTGTGGTGTGTTCTCCATGGTCAGAAAACCAGGATTAGTGTGAAATGAAAGGCCAAAAAAAAAATAGACAAAAGATGCATTTTGAAATTTATCTGCTTTAGTGTGGACATGGGCGACAATTGCTGTGATTTGCACAGTGAATCCGAGGCTGTGCACCATCATGTAGACAGTGAAAATCAAACGTGAAAGAGAGGCTGATTACCCGCTCGCTGGTTGCTGAAAACAAAAAAATAGGCCATTCGTAAAGAAAGAGGGGACGATTCAAAATGGTTGATGGGTTTTCAAATACCGAGAGGTGCAGAATGTGCATGTGCCACTCCAACTATTCTGAGAAGTCGCACCGCAGCAACCTCTTCTGTCCTCACACAGAGATGAGATGAAAAATCAACATACCGTGAAAAATTGCTTGTCAAGCTTCAGTCAGGAGGTTTCACGCCATCCGTTCAGTCACAGTATTCCTTCTAGGATAATGCACACACAGACAGAGGTAATAGGGAACTTTGAAATTAAATGAAACTGTCCTCCACTCCCCTTATCTCTCATTTCCTGTCCTCTCCTGCCGAGCTCCTTTCTCTGCTAATTTCTGTTTCCATAATGCTCCTGCACGCTCTCGTGCCAGCATGTGTTTACTTTTGTAACTCTTGGAGACAAAAACTGCAAAGCTCAAAGCTGAGGTGCTTGTTCCTGTGCCAGCCACACACTACTGACTCACTTTGATAAGGAAAACAGAAAAAAAAATTGAAATGTAATCAAATTTCTGTGTGAAGCTCCACTCGTAGACCTCAGCTCAAACAGACCAGACACCTGTGTGTGAATATTATATTCAGCTGCTCGCTTATCAGTTTTTAAAGGAATAATTTAACATTTTGGGAAATGCTTATTGGCTATCATGCTGAGTTAGATGAGGAGAGTATTACCACTCTCATAGGAGTTGTGTCAGTCTTCCCTTTTAAAGCTCAGATAGGCAGTTTTATTCTGGTGTCATTGGGCAAAAATCCCATAATAAGCTTTGAGCATATTGTCATTCAACTGTTTTGAGAGAAAGCTAGACTTCTACACCTCCTCTTGGCTCTGTTTCCAGGCTTTAGAAAATCTAGGCCATGTCTGGAGACTTTTGCCAATCACAGGTCATTTCAAAGGTCTGTCTCCTGAGCTGCTACCTGCTCTCTTCCCGGGGAAGCAGTTGAAAAGACAGTGGGGTGGCTAACGTTAGCTTACTAATTCTTGTCTCATTTGTTTTTTGATAAACAGAGAGAAAGAGCCGGCAAGCAGGGGCTGAGCAAATGTGCTGTGGGCAACTGTGCAGTGAAATAAGATTAAATAAATCATTGTATGGAAAACACTGGATTACTGTGTGAAGCGCTTGCATATGCGTGTGCTCATCTGGTGGGAGGGATGGGCATAGGACAGAGAGGAGAGAGGGCAGACTCCCAGGAAAGTGGCTCATTGCGGTATTGCAGGAAAAAAAAATCACCTGCGACCCAAAAAGCAATTTACCCATAGACCTCCACTGTAAAAGACACATCTGTAACAACTGCGAACAATTGTAACCGGTGAACTCTTGTGATGTCTGCGTTGTGTTGATATGAAGAGGCTCAGACCGTGGATATCTTTGGAGGGGATCTCAGTTTAATCCTGACAGCAAATGGGGAAAACAAAATCCTCCATCAAACACAACCACACAAACTCAAACCTCTACACAAATTAAGTGACACAGGATATGTTAGCATAAAATGAACATATAAACAGCTTAACAGTGCTAAAACATGGATATTACAACAAGAGCAATGTCACTTACCTTTCCCGTGGACCCTGTTACACAAGGTCAGAGTCAACTCTTTCTATTACGAATTTTTGATCCATGGTGGTTTAATATGTAAAACTTTCCTAGAGCTGAGAAAAGCGATTTAAAATCCATGACATCATCAAAATGTTAAGTTCATGAGTCGAGCAGGAACAGTGTGCTGCATACCGCAGAAGTAAACCTTGCAAACTTTTATGGCGTATGCGCCAGGCGAGCAATTCCATTGGAACGAGAAGGCACCATCTTGACATCCAGTATCTAGTTATCATTATATATCTATGGGAGAGAGGCGAGCAGCAGGAGGAGGGTGCAGGAGGCCTACCCCAGAGAAAATCTCATCAAGACAACAAATAAGCATATTTCCCAAATGACAAACCATTCCTTAAATTTCACACACTTTAATTTCTAATTCTTTCTTCCGATTGCAGGTGGTTTATCAGTAATTTCCAAGGCGACGACCTCTGACCCCCCAGCTCTCACTGAAGTGGTGATGTCATATCCTGATACTGCTCATACTGAACCAGCCACAGCCGAGCCCAGCATCACCGGCCGAACACAAAGCCTTCCGGAAACCAACAACATCCCAACACTAGACATTCGACACCCGCTGCCCATAGACTCTCCTCCACCTCTAACACCTCCTCTTCCTCCCCCACCTCCTCCTGCTGCACTCAGCCCCGACCTCCCACCTCTGTCACCTTCAGTCCTGCCTCCACCTCTGCCAGCCAAACCTTTTTCTACCTCCAGTCCTTCTCCCTCGACACCACCTCCTGCTGAGAGCCCGCAGCGTCCCACCACCCTCAACCTAAAGACGCTGCCACGGCCTACCATTAGGGAGAATGGCGGCCCCCCGCCAGGGTTGAACGAGGAAGAGGAGGAGAAGAAGATGCTGGAGGAGGATCTGAAGAAATGTATTGAGGACTTCAAAAAGATCCGCTTGCCCAGAGAGTTTCCGGATCGCAAGCGGCACTGGCAAAATGACTTGCTCAAGAAGTACAATGCGTAGAGTGCTTCGCTGCGCTTAACAACTTAACAAGGATTTTATAACAATGTTGTGGACAGTGGACTCCAGCTTTATATTCACATTCCTCTGAGTCAGCAAGTTGACTTAAACCTCTAATGTAGTAGCTTTTGCATGTCAACAGAACTAAATTGTTTGATTATGTGTAGCGCTTAGCTCGTCTAGCAATCACACGATTAAAACACTGAGATTAATCTTTTCCCATCATAGAAAACAACATCCCTCTAGAGATTGTTAGTGACACTTCTTTGTTCCAAACATCTCTGTGGAGAAATTAAAAGAATATTGAAATCATTTTATTTTGACTCAGTCAAAGGATAATATGTAATGTTGTTAGTTGGAGCTTCCTGCCCTGCTCTCTGTACTGTATCCACTGATCAAGCAACTGGAAAATGTATGCTAAGTGTGACATTCTGGGCATTTTGACCTTGCTGATGCAAAATAAAAGAAAGAAGTGAAATCTCTGGTGCTAATCATCTAAAATATCTCACCTCATCAATATTAACCGTACGACTTCAAAGTCTTTCTTCTCCTTGCTGCCTGTGAATCAAAAGCGCTGCAGTTTGGTTCATTTTGTGATTACATTATCTTCAAGCCGGCAATGGAAAGAATTCAGAGAGAGAATGCGTTGTACCGGGAAGCGCAGTGGGTAATTACAGACGGCCAGCATGTGGAATAATAATGACAATAATGACTACATGAACCAGTGCACAGTGCCATTTGTTCCTCTATCTGCTCTGCATAAAATGTTCACCCAGCTTCACTAATGAATCACCAGGTTTATGTGTGTGTGTGTGTGTGTGTGTGTGTGTGTGTGTGTGTGCAGTCCTCATTATGGGATACATAGGATAAGTCACAATAAAATGAAAAATTGCTGGTCATTTATCTTTTCAGTCACCTTGTGAACTGATTCGCCACATCACAGTGTTCAACCACTTTAAAGGATTACAAAAGTTTTTATAAATGTTTTTCTTATCAAGAGTGAGATACAAGGATCTCCACCACACTCATATTTGTGCATTGTGTACGAAGCTAGAAAGGGAGTGACCTATGTTCCCAAGCTCAACATCCTCTTATTTTGACTCTTTAAAGTGATCTTTCAAAGGGTTTTATGTTCTCAGAGATGTTTTTCCCTAAGTAAAATATTCAGTGTATCTTTCCCTAAGTCAATATGTTGAAATCACCCACCCGCAGCTTATAGCCTAGAGCGCTGCAGGGATGAGGTTTCTTCGTAGGCCGACGTGGAAGTTAGCGTTGCCCTGGTTCCCCTTAAACAAAAAGTCTTTGGGAGTTTTCCATTGGATTTTGAAATTTTGCCAAAAATAAGCTCTGTGACAAACAAAGATACTGACATGTTTTGTTCAGCCAGATAATTAACACAATTAACACCACTTTTATGATTTTCGAAGCATAATTGCAATCGTCAGAAGTAAAAGAAATAAAATAAAATAAATATATTTGTTAGGCTATAAATGAACTACACTACGCTTGCAGAAATTAGACTTCACCACCAAAACAAGGCTGTGGAGTATTTACTGGTGTCTTTTAAGTCAGTCATAAGTCTCCTAAGCTTCTGTTAAACATGGATCTTATTTTAGGCCTCTAACCAAGGACGCATTCAAAAAACCCACTGACTTCAAGATGAGGGAACCGAGAGTGCTAAAATGCTAACTTAAGTCCAGGTTTTAGGATCATTCCTGCTGCAGGAATCCTGCACCACTAAATACTGATACATTTTCCTGACTTTAGCCATTGATACCTCTAGAGTGGAGCGTCCATATCCCTTTGCTCTTTTGTTATTTGAACTACTAAGCTAGCCCCTACCAGTGTCTTACAATGTTAGTTTATACCCCTGGTGACGCTGCTAGATCCAGGGGCAGGTTAGCTTAGCCTAGCATAAAAACTGTAAACAGCTAACCTGGCTGTGTCTAACGTAAACAAAACAACTGCACCTCTAAAGCTCACCAACATGTTATATCTCATTTGTTCTCACAAAATTCCAAATTGTGAAAACAACTGTTTGCGTTTGTAGACGAAGTTACGTTCTATAACTGTTTCTTGGCATATAGCCGCCAGCCGCAGTGACTTACTGTATAACTTAACTCTTTCAACAACCACAACTTGTTGATTCCACATTTCTGTTTGTGCGCAGAGTAATCATGATGTTAATTAATAATTATTGAGCTTAAGAGGTGCTGGTAGGTGTATGTTTGAACTATGGGGATAGCCTGGTTAGCTGTTTCCCCTGTTTCCACTTGCATATGTGTTCGGAGACAAGGTAGCTGGAAGTCTATTCTTTCCTATGGGAATTTCTGTGACATGCCTGTAAAACTCCTCCCCACCATAATATTTAGGTATGGAATTTGCCTCGACTGCTTTAAAAAAAACTTAACTTTTGCAGTGGATTTTGGAGAGACCCGTATGACAGTGTGCTAGCTTAGCTAACAGGCTGCTAACTGGCTAAAAGGTTATTTACTTCAAATCAGTTGCCTATGTTAATTGTTAAGTGAGTTTGTATGATTAAAAAGAACTTGTTTATCTAGTTTTAACACATGGTGAATCTAAGTAATGTTATTCTGCTAAAATATATAATAATATGATAATAATATGGTTATGTCATTTATGACTCGTTCAACCATTTGTCTTTTTAATGAAATGTTTCACAAAACATGCCACATACCTGGCAGGCCAGTATATTCAATTATTTGTAACCATGGAATATTGGTTGTTGCCGCGGTAATTTTCCAAGCGCATATTTCAAACTATTTGATAGCAAAAAAAAAAAACAGGCAAAATTAAGCCATCGCTTCACATAGATGCTAACTGGTTTCTATCCAAGAAATGCACTTCCTTGCGTTGGACACTGAAGGCATCATCTGTATACTTATGGATCTAAAGACACCAGTCACATACATAAGTGGAGATGAGGCATTAATGGTAATGTAAGTTCATTGTCTCCTGGTACTAGCTTGTTTTTTGGAGTGCCAGCATCTTTTTTTCCAGTTGTTCCCAATGAGGAAGGAGAGTATGCAACCTCATGTGGCCACCTAGAGAAAGGGTGCTGCACCCACCGTCATTTTTCAGAGTGGTCCAACTTTTTTGCACCGCGGCCAGACACTGATTGTTGTTGGTGAGTGTTGTGCTTTTATCACCATACATGTAAGCTTGTTGTTAGCTTTATAGTCAACCCCAAACGTCAGTGAGATATAAAACGCTGAGATGAAGTACTCCTCAGTGCCCTGCTAGCACTTCTCTGCCAAAGAAAAAAACACCATATGGACCAATGCCCATAGGCGACTAAATGGATAGAAATGATAGTTCTACCAATGTTCTCATTCAAGTCTCTCCAAGAAAGTATATTCAATTAGTTTTTTCAGTGCTTATGTAGTAGCCTACAAGTGCAGGATTCCAGTGACATGCCCTCCCCAAAAAACTGCATCAACCATATCCTCAGTGAATCTTTCCTAATCACTTGGGAGCATCAACAAACAAATCAAGAGACAACACAGAGTAGTTTTGAACTTTTGAACCCTTTTGATCATTTTCCACTGGCATCCTGTTTCCATTAGAAATAATAACTGAAGCAAGAGACTATCAAATTGCTGTTCCCTTATGATTTAAACAAACGTGTAATTTTGGCTTCATATTGAATATTCCGAGAGCAACAAATATTACACAGACCTTCCACCACATCCATGGATGAATAGAGTGCTGACTTATTTTGAATGCAGCCTTGAAGATGTTTTGTTGTCTCATTTTGTCTGTTTTGGTCAATTTATTTTCTCTATCTGTCTCATTTGACCAGAGCCGAACCAAAGTCTGACCTGCCCCTCTGTCTTTGATCCTAATGACCCTGGTGGCTGTTTGTAGCATCTCTGCGTAGACGTCCTAATGATGTTGTCTTTTCCCAAAGCTTTCTATCAGCGCCATGCCTGCGGCCTGATGAAGTTCAGCTCTGCGCTGGTTAATATTGAGGTTAAGACATTAATCCCCAAGTGGTGGCTGAGAGGGAAGTTTTATCTCGTTACACATCAGACAAATAGAATAGTTTTATCACACACACACTGGTAACCACTGAGGAGCAATAGAGATATCCGCTTGCTCTGAGAAGAGGATTAACACCAGATTAGGGTTTGTCACAGTCCTAAAGAGTCTCTAAACAGCAGGCTATTCCTCGCACAAACTACACGATAGCGACAATTTATACCACTCAGTCTTTGCTGAAACATTTCACACCATCATCAACACCGAGGCCGCCTCCAACTGGCTGAAAAAATCCATAGAAAAGATTCTACTTTGCAGCTCATTAGAGAGTATTGCCTCATCAGCTCCTTTTCTCGTATTTCTCATCTTTCAGCATTGGCTTGGACAGCGACAGCGCGCTGGCCTGGCTCCCAGGCTCAGAGGAGTGTCGTCAGCGTGCGCGTCTGAGTCAGGATGCATGCAGAGGATTGAAACAACAAGTCCTCCCGACTTACAATTCCTGTTTACTGTGGCAGAAGCTGCGCAGTCTGCTGTGTTGGAGTCCTGTTAGACAAAACAGACATCCCTGTCCAAAACCAGTCCTTGATTAGCATTTGGGCCTCTCCATAAGAATCCATTCACTTCTCAATTCTCTTTCACCCTTTGTCTTTTTTTTGGTACAGCCCTCTGAAGCTGGCCTTTTGACTTATTATGGATGCACTGTGAGGGGTTGATCTCTGAAGTTGATAGGCTCAGCCCCTCAACAAAGGGAATACTTCTGCTTTGAAATGAAGAGGTAAAGCAGTCTAGTGGGAACACGACTGACAGAAAAACATTCTTTGACAGAATATCTAAGCATGAGAGATCAAACCTACGAATTGTAGCAATGGTGATTATCACTGGACAGAGGTGGAGCTAACATGGGAACAGTCTTTAAAGTCACTTCCTGAAGTTTTCACCGGATTTGCACCCAGGGGCACAGAGGATGAAGTCTAAATCAAGCTCTTCCCCTGTGAACGAGCAGTGCTGCATCCAAGGCCAAGACTTTGACTGAATCTTTCTCAGTGTCACCCATTAAACTGCATCTGATTAACTGAGGAGAAAAAGGGAGGACTGACAGTGCAACTCCTCCTTTGTTTCCAGGTAACGCCCTAATGACCACAGTAGCCTTCAGCAAGAACAGAATGTCAAAGGAAACCTGCCACAAACATCCCGAGCACAGTCTTCCATCTTCCTTCCTCAAATGTATCCGTTTAAGCCTTTTTGCTGACACACAGGGCGCCTCGCATTTGCATGAAAGAGCACCTTGCAGATTTATTTCGAATGGCCAGCAATACATTAGCATCTCATTTCTTCGGGGCATGAGTTATCTCCACTACTGTCAGCCCTCCTGACAATTAAGGCTCAGCTGAAAGTGATCCTTGTGAAAAACAGTGCTGCAGTGAGGGTCCTGGGATATTTTAGTCTTTCAGC